AGAGAGAGAGAGAGAGAGAGAGAGAGAGAGAGAGAGAGAGAGAGAGAGAGAGAGAGAGAGAGAGAGAGAGAGAGAGAGAGAGAGAGATGCCTGTTTGGTGTTGCTCAACGGTCATAGCCGCTCCCATGTGTGTACACACTACTGTACTGTATAAGCCTGTGAATCTCCGAACAATTTCCAAAGTGTTCACATCTCGTGTGACTTTCATCTCATGCTTGGAGCTTCGTGTGATAATGCGTGAGTCTGTTGTGCTGTGAGAAGCTGTGCAATTTGTGGGTTCATTGCAAAAAGAATCCAATATGAGAGGAATCCAAATAATTATGGTAGATTTGTAATATTATACTAATATGTATATTAAGAAACCATCATAAGGATGTACCTGCAGAACAATATGCTTCCTTCCGAAAACTGGCTCCGGAGTTTCTGGACGCTTTTTTTCCGGCGGTCTTTTCCGCTTCTTCTTCTTGCGCTTTGCTGCTGCTGCTGCTGCCTCTTCTTGCCAAAGAAAAGGATTGACCTGCAGTTTTTTTTTTATTTTTAGATTTCGGTTTGTTTTGCAAAGAAAAAAAAATAAAAAAAATTGGAGAAGTGAAATCACAGAATATGGAAAGAAGAGTTCAGGGAAGTGACAATGCAGAATTTTATTTTTTTTTCAATTTACACCTCTCACCCCACCACCACCACCAAAAAAAAAAAAAAGAAAAAAAAAAGCCTGGCCGTAATTGCAGTCACATTCATCCAGAAGTCCTAGTATATCATTATGCCATGAGTCTCAGTATTTGGATACGAGTCCCAGTATTTGATTCATTCAAGAACGAGTTCCAGTATAGGGGTCTCAGTATTTGAGGACAGCTGTGGATGCAATTGCCGTCAGATACATCAAGGCCTGGCCATAATTGCAGTCAGATACGTCCGTGCCTGACCGTAATTGCAGTCAGATTCATCCAGAAAAGTCCTAGTGTGAGTACGCCCTGAGTCTCGGTATTTGGATACGAGTCCCAGTACTCGATTCCTTCGAGGACGACTTCCACTGCACGACTACCAGAAGTCCTTCTCATAAGAATTTCATTGAAATTCCAAAAGAAAGAAAGAAAAAAAAACTAATATCTTTGTTTCCTCACTGTTTGACTCTCTCTTCTTTCCTCCTTTTACGTAATCGCCTGATCTCTCATTTTATGAATGTTTTCCAACTTCTCCTGCCAAAAAATAGTCAGAGTGAAGGCTTTCCTGCCAAAAATTAGTCAGAGACTCAGAGTGAAGGTTTTGCTGCCAAAAATTAGTCAGACTGAAGGTTTTTCTGCCAAAAATTAGTCAGAGTGAAGGTTTTTCCAACTTCGCCTGCCAAAAATTCGTCCGAGTGAAGGTTTTCCTGCCAAAAATTAGTCAGAGTTTAGGTTTTCCTGCCAAAAACTACTTAGTCAGAGTGCCAAAAATTAGTCAGAGTGAAGATTTTTCTGCCAAAAATTAGTCAGAGTGAAGGTTTTTCCAACTTCGCCTGCCAAAAATTCGTCTGAGTGAAGGTTTTCCTGCCAAAAATTAGTCAGAGTGAAGGTTTTTCCAACTTCACCTGCCAAAAATTCGTCAGAGTGAAGGTTTTCCTGCCAAAAATTAGTCAGCGCTTAGGTTTTCCTGCCAAAAAAAATTTAGTCAGAGTGAAGGCTTTTCCTGCCGAAGTACGGTTTTCCTGCCAAAAATTCGTCAGAGTTAAGGTTTTCCTGCCAAAAGTTAGTCAGAGCCTTGCGAACAGGAGTGCTTGTGCTCTTTTGCCCTGCAATCACTTCCAGAGCTGAGTCCAAAAAAACAGTCCTCATGTGTACATGCACTCATACAGAGTCATACTCAAGGACTGACACTCAGGGCCTGGCTCCACTACTCACCAAGTGTGCAAAATGACAATTAATATTCTACTAGAACATGGGCAGATACACCACCATATTTTTTGTCTTTTGAGCATGTGGTGAGAGAGACCCTCAAATTCACACAATGAGAAAACTGTCCGAGACCCCTTCCAGACCTGCATACTGGGGGTTTAGGACGTTTGGGACGTGTATACGCTTCTTGGCCAAACTCCAATTACTGTCAGCGACCAAAGCCCCTGAGGAGTGGTGCTGGCAAGCAGCTGAAACCGGCCGGGCACGCCGTTCGGACCTTGTGTCCACTTCCGCTTCATGGGACAAGTTTTCCCTTGAAGCGAAAACTTGTCGCTTGAAGCGGAACTTGCATTCAGGTTTCATATTACCAATTAACTTGTTTACCCTTCCCCCTCGGGTGTCTTCCTCTCCTACTCTTCTCTCTTCTTCTTCTTTCTTCTTTCTTCGTCTTCGTCTTCGTCTTCGTCTTCGTCTTCGTCTTCGTCTTCGTCTTCGTCTTCGTCGTCGTCGTCGTCGTCGTCATCTCCTTCGTCATCGGTGCCATTGTTGTCGTCGTCACCGTCGCCATGCTGTCTTCTTCTTCTTCTTCTTCTTCTTCTTCTTCTTCTTCTTCTTCTTCTTCTTCTTCTTCTTCTTCTTCTTCTTCTTCTTCATCTATCTCTTCTTCTCTCCACGGCATGTGGTTTTGGCATGAGCAGTTTCTAATACTTTCTATGAATGTCCATTCTTTGATTAAGTGTGTGCTATTGCAGTATAATACAACCCCCAATATACTGGGAACCCTTTCTTTTAAAAAAATACTGGGAACCCTATACAGGGACTCATATAGTGGGACTCTTCTTCTCGCTTGATAAATAACCACACACTTTTTTTTTTTTTTTTTTTTTTTTTTTTTTTTTTTTTTTTTTTTGATAACCACACAGTTATATGCTTCTTGGCCTACTCTCAAATACACAAATAATTTATAAATACTAATAAATCCTACATAGTAATGAATTAATAAGTTAGTAAGAACCATTGAAAAAAAGGGAAAATTGCATCTGTACCCCACTTTAAAGATGGGCATACCCGCTATACCCAGTCCCAGCGCCAACTTGCCCCTATATCCAGAAGGCGGCCTGTGGAAATTATTTGCACGCCCAGGACTGAGGTGAGACCAGGTTGGTACCACCAAATTGCAGTTATAACCAACTACCGGAATGCACAAATTATGGACATACCCAGGCAAAATTATGGGCATATATCCGGAACTGAGGTGGACCGGCCTAATTATTGATATACCCTACTACTGGATGGCTGAAATTATGCTCATACCCCCGAGCTGTTGGGCCAGAACCGTCCACGTGGTGGGCATGACCATAATTTTGTGGTACGCCATCCAAGGCACGCCCCTGGGTGTGGAAACACCCACAATTTCGCCAGCACGTTCCTGGGCATTATTAGCGTAAGTCCATGGTCTGCAACCGAGGGCCTGCAGAACTGGGTATGCCTACAATTTCGCGCAGGGGAAAAGTTGGGTACTATGCAAAGTTGAATGGGCTCCAGGTATAGATGCAAGTTCGGCGCTGGGACTGGGTATCGCAGGGTATTGCAATCTTTAAGTGGGGTACAGATGCAATGTTCCCAAAAAAAAAAAAAAAAAAAAAAAAAAAAAAAAAAAGGCTTACTAAACCACCAGTACTTGGCCCAGCTATTGATGCCGAGCCTGGAATGCCCCCGCGCGCCAATTTTTGCCAAAGCGCCAGGGTACCGTGTCGATTTTCTTTTGGCTGGCGCTTCCAGCCATTGTGGTCCAGTACCCCGAAGCCCTAAAGGCGCGGCGTGTTAACGGGAAAGCACCGCTGCCTATAGCTGGGCCAAGTACTGGTGGTTTAAAAGCGAAAGCACTACCCAGGTCATGTGCTGCAGACATGTAACTTGCTTTTTTTTTTTTTCCCCTGCACAAATAAAGGGCGACGGCCTTGAGATGTCATCATGGCCCTGGGTAATTCAGAATTCAAGTATTTGTTACTTTCATGATAATGGACTCCTTGCTTTTTCCACAACAAATAAAATAAAAAATAAATCAAGTATTTTAGTCATCCGCTTTCCGTGGACCTCGAACTCGGGTCTGTAGACTCTGTACTACAAACAGTTCAGGGGGTGTAGCAACTGAGATAGGCCAGTTTTTGTTTGGGGGGGGGGGGGACAAAAAACAAAAAGAGGAAACTGTGGTTGTGGCACACGTTTAGTCTGAAATAGGCAAGAAAAGACAAAAGTGGCGCTGTGGTCATGGCATGAGTTTGAAAATGTGCAAGTTTTTGGTGTAAACCACCAGTACACAGCCCCAGCCTTGCTGAAAGAAAACTCGTCGGCGTCATCGCCCATCGGAAAAAGTCGGGGCGCGGCTGCCGTGACGTTTGTCGCGTATATTGCGTGTACTGGTGTGGTTTAAAGCTTGAACCGCGCGAGTCATTAGCCAGTGTAGTGAATGCAGTTTTTTAGGGTTGTGCGAGGAATGCGCCCTCACGGGGCCCTCACAGACATGCGAGTGTTCTGGACCGTGGCCCCCAGCAAGGATTGTGCCCATCCTAAGTGAAGGCGGGCCTGAATCTCCACGTGAACCCCCTTTTCGACATTTTTCGATATGTGGGGTATCAGAAAGGTGCAGCACGCCAGTTGGTTACAAAGCAGCGTGAGCATCCGCTGGCTCCTTCCAGAAACAACAGCTGCGCTGCACAGTTGAGCCCAGGGCCTCGGTTGGTTGCGCTCTGGGCACACACAGTGGGAGGCCGACACATCACGCAGTCCCCGCGGATGAATGAGAAAGCAGCGTTGTCGTCACACAACCTCTGCGAGCCAATGAGAATGCGGCAAACACTTGGAGGCTGGACGGCTGTCTGGAGATTCCCAACTGAAAAGGGCCCGTAGCAGCAGAGGTAGGCCTGGGTGCAGACACTGGGGCCAGACTGGAAGCTACTGGAAACTTCCCACGCCAGGCCCACGCAGTCAAACACAGGGGCACACTTTTCATAAAGTAATGTGCCTCGCCCAGGCAGGCTCATTCTGGCCTTGGCAGGCAATGCGGACACGCTGCTGCATTGCTGCGCTAGTGTCCGCATGTGCGCTGCTGGTCGGACGCGCGCACGGGCGCTGCTGAGGCAGCGGGCGCACAGCAGCCATAGCCGGGCTGCAGGGCCGCAGGCAGGTGATGGCGATCGTGGTCTCCAGGTAGAAGGCCCATGCAGAGGGGAACCAAGGGGTGACGAGGGGAGGAGAGAGAAGTACCTGGTGTATGCTGGTGGTCGGCATTGGTGTTGACATCACGTACATTAGTCTTCAACTTCGATGTGATCCAGTCGCATGAACGTAGATAGGAAAGATAGGCTGAGTAGTGTAGGCTGGGCGCTGGGCGCCAGGCGGTAGGAGGGACCTTGGATACAGTGTTGGCGTGACCAGAAAGCATCGGCATTGGCACTCGAGTTCATTGTATTGCTCTTATTTGGATGGTATCTTGGTGCATTGTCCTCTCTGCTTCGCACATGACCATCTGGACTACTTCGTGATTTTGCAACTTGGTTTTCTGTCTATCGCTCTCACTCATATTCCTTGCGGTCGCCTCTTTTTTACCTTTTTTAAGAACTGCTAAGGTTGCCCATTCTGAACATGAGGTGTGACTTGCAAGTACTTGCTCGCCCGCCCCCCCCTGAAAAAAAGAAAAACTGAGATAGGCCAGCTGGTAGGTGCAGACATGTAACTACTAGTAAACAGATTATTATAAATATTAAATTCGAATCCTGCTGGGATCGGATGGCTACAATTCATGCTAGGGGCAACCATGTTTTTCAAAATAAATAGAATAACAAGAAAAATTAAAATCAAAATAACATATGTATATATATCGTCACAAACAGAACTGCCCGGTAAACCGTAGGCAGAGAGAGAGAAGAGGACAACAAACGAGGGGCTGTGACAAACTGTTTCGTCGGAGTTTCACCGACTCATCAGGAGGCTGAACCCTCAG